TCCACGACCAATTTGGGCTGACAAACAAATGAGAACAGATGCCTCCCGCGCAGAATTCGTCCAGTACGTCGAGGACGACACGTTCGTAATTGTGGCGTTGGAACGTCCACTCCGTCTTGAGGAGGAACCGGCCGTTGACAACCTTTGGCGTGGCTTGGTAGCGGTGCAGGGACCGATTCATCAGCGCACCCTTCTTCAATGTGAAAGGAGCCATCATCTTCCTGAGGTACTCCTGGTTTCCACCCCCTCGCCGAGAGAGCTTCAGGGCAAGCAGCACGTGAGTCAGTCGCAGCTTATACAGGCAATCAAACTCTCGGCTTCGCCCTTTTGACATGGAGGGACTGACCCATGCTGAGGCAAGTCAGATGTGCCCAACCTATGGAGCCTGCAGCACACTTTACATGGCCAGTAGTCCGGAAGGCTGTACGCAACCCCGAACCAAAAGTCACAACGCTTTTGAAAGTTAAGCCGGACTATTGCTTCGTTACAGTCTCTGGCAGTCAACACCCTTAAAGCGATACACGTTCTCGATAGAAGAAACCTCGCGTGCAGCGGCAGTTCCCCTGTGATCATCAGCACCAACTCTACAGGAAGTTGTAGAATCTTGGCTTTTTGATCACCAGCAGTCTTCGTCATGTTTTTGTCGGCTCAGTCCATGTTGTTTTCTTGAGTCGGGTCATTCCGTAGTAGGTCGTAATTGAGTATTGATTCTGAGCATAGTATCACTCAGTATCAGAGGTCAGTGTTAGCAGCGGCGGTACTGTCTGCTGTTTGTAGGTAGGAGAACTGAAAAACAGAGGAGGGAAAAAACGGGAAGAGGTTGGCTTTTGCAGGTCAGCGAGTTACTAACCGAAAACCAAGAGCCGACGTACAAGTTGAAACAACTACATAGGTGACGACGATTGAGGTATCTCCGAATGGTCAAGCCCACTTCGTTGAGACACCTGGACGGCTTGAAACCTTATGGGCAGGACTGCCGTGGCTTAGCACAAGAACCCGTATCAAAGCCTTCTCAAAAGGGTTTTGCTATACGGGCAAATCCTTCCAGTCCGCTCGGAGACCAAAGGCTTTTCATAGAACAGGTCGCATGTTCAGCTACCTTCGGCCTAAAAGTGGAATGACAGCTCATCTGGAGACTACAGGGAGTTCTTATGGCGTGTAAGCCATAAGAAAAAGTTTCGATGAGGTTTGAGATCATCATTATGGCATTTGAAAAGCCACGCCCACGAAGGTTTTGTCACATTCAAGTTTTGCAGAAGGAGAAGAAGCAGTAAACCACCTCGGTCGGCTCTATCCAGTATCGCAGTGTACCTACCCGGGGGTCTGGTGCACCTGCTTTAGGCAGGTTGTATAAGCAAAGAGCTACAGGTTGTTGAAAACTGCTATCCAGGGCCGACTGTGGTGCAAATCATGTTCGTCTTTGTGCGGGTGCAGTAAGGTGTGGCGCAGATCTTGACGCATGTGTGGTCGACCCAAGTTGGGCAGACCAACCGGCCACAATGGTTCTATGATTCACAGAGCCCAAGAGGAGATGCCACAATGGTTGCGAGGAAGCTGGACTCCGTCCTCAAAGAGGAAAGAGATATGCGCCGCCTCGATGCCAAGAAGCGGGCAGGTCAGCGGGGTCATCTGCGGCGGAATAATCATGCAGAGATTGCTCTAATGATACCCCGAGGATGATTTGGTGCCAATCCTCAGTGGAGAATAAATTACGCAAGTATCGAGGATACTTCAATTGGAGGCATGATATGTTGAGTTGTATCAGTTGCTTCTTCACTCCAATTTTGGTGGGGCATCATGAATTCAATCTCGCCAGTCGCTGCTTGCATGCTGCTAGCTCTGAGCTTTCTGGTTAGTGCCTCGTCTGAAGCATCGCACACACTATGGTATAGCCAACCGGCCCTTCGAGACTTCTATGAGGCCCTCCCCATCGGCAACGGTCGCTTGGGAGCCATGATTCATGGCTATACCGACAAGGAGCTCATCCGTCTCAATGAAGAATCCATCTGGAGTGGAGGACCGATGAATAAAACACCACTTACTGCTCTCGATGCACTTGAGCCTCTTCGAGAGCAGATTCTTGATGGACGCCTAACAGAAGCTGACCAGAATTGGGTTGCCAACTTCACCCCTAAATACGATGACATGCGACGATACCAGCCGGCAGGTGAACTAAGACTTGACTTCAATCATACTCTGAACGAGACATTAGGTTACGTACATTCCCTGGACGTTTCTAACGGACTTTCGTCTCTGAGCTACGTCTTCGGCGGAGTGGAGTATACCAGAGAGGCGTTTGGAAATACCCCAAAGAATATTTTGGCTTTTAGGTTTTCTTGCAACAGTTCCGGGTCTCTTAGCCTCGACGTCTCTCTGTCAAGAGATAGAAACGTCACTGAGTTGACGGCGGATGCTGCTGGAAGAATTCTCAAACTACATGGGACTGGGGAGGAAGACGACACTTACCGCTTTGTGTCTCAGGCCCAGGTATTTCTTTCTGACGGTAAGCTTTGATAATATCAAGAACATGTTCTGAGCGTGACTAATCTCTTTTGCCAGGAGTTGGCGATATCGTCAGCAATGGGACGGCTTTGCACATCAGGAATGCCACGGACGTCTGTATCATTTACACAGCCGAGACCACCTTCAGACACCCCGATGCAACAATGGAACAGTTGGAGACTATAGTCAACAGCCAACTGGAAACAGCCCAGGAGGCTGGCTACGAAGCAATCCAACACGAAGCCGTGGAGGACTATAAGCAATATTACGGCCGTACCTCCATCGACTTCGGCACATCACAAGAGATTGGCACCAAAGACACAATTGCCCGACTTGACAACTGGAAGCGAGGAAGTAACATTACTACTGACCCCGAACTTATGGCGCTTCAATTCAATGTTGGAAAATACCTCCTAATCCAATCATCGCGTCCTGGATCTCTCCCGGCCAACCTTCAAGGCATCTGGAACAGGGACTTTGGACCGCCCTGGGACAGCAAGTTCACCATCAACGTCAACCTGGAGATGAACTACTGGCCTGCGCAGCCCCTGAACTTGCCAGAGATTGCGGAGCCGGTTGTTGACTTTCTCGATCGACTGGCTGTGACTGGCAGTGAAGTTGCAAAAGGGATGTATGGAGCCGACGGGTGGTGCTGTCATCACAACACTGACATCACGGGCGACTGCACGCCGTTCCATGCCATCACAATCGCAGCACCTTATCCGCTTGGCGGTGCCTGGCTCGCATTTGAAGCTATTGAATACTTCAGATTTACTGGAGACACGACTTACGCGCGTGAGCGCATCTTGCCGATCTTGAAGGGCGCAATGGACTTCATCTATAGCTGGGCCACGCAGCCAGACGGCTGGTGGATCACGAATCCTAGCTGCTCGCCGGAGAACTCTTACTACATACCTGAGAATATGACTGTGGCTGGAGAGACTACGGGGATTGATGCAGGGGCCATGAACGATCGAGCAATCATGTGGGAAGTCATGTCCGGCTTTCTCGAGATATCTGAAGCTCTTGGCTCTGATGAAGGAGTTGATCGCGCCAGATCCTTTCGAGAGAATATTAAACCTCCTGTTGCAGGCTCGTTCGGTCAATTGCTCGAGTACTCCCGGGAGTACCGGGAGAACCAACCGGGCCATCGTCACTTCTCACCCCTTGTCTGCGCCCACCCGGGAACCTGGGTCACGCCCCTCGAGACACCAGACTATGCAGATATGGCATACAAGCTACTTCGCCACCGAATGAATAATGGCGGAGGAGGCAACAGCTGGGCGGTGACTTGGGCAAGCTTGCTCCACGCACGCCTTTTCGATGCGACGAATGCGTTGAAATACGCCATTGAACTCTTATCCCGATGGGTCCACAACAACTTGTTCAGCCGGAACGGCAGCTACTTTCAGATCGATGGCAATTCTGGCTTCACGGCAGCCATCGTGGAGATGTTTCTACAGAGCCATGCTGGCGTCGTCCACCTCGGACCGGCCATCCCCCCTGCGGGTCAAGGCTTATCTAGCGGTAGCTTCAGAGGGTGGATTGCTCGTGGTGGCTTCGAGGTCGACATGACCTGGTCAAACGGGGTCGTGGTTCAAGCCGAGATTACCTCTTTTTTGGGCAACCCATTGAAAGTTCGCATAGGTGAAGGGTCAACATTTATAGCTGATGGGGTGATTGCAGGGTTTGATCCAATCAACACCAACAAGGGCCAGAAGATCACAATTTCGCTCTTCTAGAGGGGGCAACAACACTTCGTTGGATTCTGCGGATCAATAAAACTACTTGTGTCATCGATAGCTATGGGCGAAGTCGCGCTGTAACTCGACATATCATGACTCCAAATCAATGGAACTTGCAACATGTCGCGTCGCCTAATCAGAAACAGGGCCTAGCGCAAAAGCCTTTCAATACTTCATACGATATTTCGAGATCAATTTTCGGTCTATTTCCGCTCTAGTAGGTCTAGACATTCGCCCATTTAGTAGTAACGATCACGGGAAACCTCCTGAAAGTGATCAAAGAACATGACTGTGACTACACCCGGGTCTGGAAATTATTGCCACGAGGTTAGTAATCGAAATGCTTGAGTCTGTTTCATTGAGTCAAACTGTCCTTGGAGGATTAAATGGTTTGTACCTGAAGACTTCTACTCAACAAATGACAATGTCCCATTTCTGAGTGCATCTGCTCGTGGTTCATGGCAAAGCTTGAAGTGGAATGCTGAAGCCTCATGACCAGAACATAATTCTCTTCACGCGTACACCGATTTTGCACGTAATCTTGATATGTCTTGAATTCAAGTAATATCAAAATGGTCCCTGGGAGGGAGTTGAAGCTCAAATGGCCAGTGGTATATCACGAGATCAATGTGGACAAAGTGGAATCTTGTGGTCTTTTTAGGGATCAATCTGATTAACTCGCGATAAACCACAAGAATATGACAGAAAGCAGCGCATTCTGGTCGATTAAGTTGCAACGCCAGCCCGGTCAAATTACGCATCGCCTTTGTCCTCGTCGCTGACCTCAGGCTTTTGTGCGAAGACCACATGACTTGGGACGGGTGAGTAACGTGTGATATCATGTACCCCAGGGAAAATGCAACTCACTGGTCAAAGATCCCATGAAGGGAGGGATCATGCAACTCCTTACGGACCTTCGCCATCGTGACAAAGACCTCTTCTTTAGTTCGGCCCAGGTGGTCACAGAAGAGCTTCAAAGTGAACCCTTCTAAGCCATCCAAGAGCTGGTACAAGTTGAGAGTTCCAACATCCCGATAGTGAGGATCGACAGGCCATGGCCCCATAGGGAGTTTGAATCTTTGGTGGGCAATGCGCTGGAATCCTGCATCCGTAACCCAGCCTTTGAGCTGTGGTCCTGGCCGACCGGTTCTACCTATCCCTTCGCAGGCTGCCACGATTTGCTTGTTCCACTTACGAGTTTCGTGTTCCTCAGTGAGAGTGCCGTCGTCAGAGTAATACTGAATATCCAGATCTTGAAATTCAGCCCAGCCGCCGGGGTTGAGATGACTGCAGAGCCAGCATGTTTCAGAGACGAATTTAGCGGGAAAGCATCTGACACTGACTTACTCATAAACGTTCTTGACGAGCTTCGGCCAGTCTGCAATTGAGACCAACATGTGTCGTATGAATATGAAATCATACATCTCGTCGTCGATCCACGGACTCTCCACATCTTCAACAAAGAACTTGACGTTTGGAGGGACCCTTGGAAGCCACTTGTTAGTCACATATTTTATATCATGACTAGGTCTTTCCGTTACCATTCGGGCTGTATAGGGCTCAGGTCGTTTCCGAAGACCTATTTGAAGTCAGTAGCTGAAGGAAATAACTTTTGACGTATTGAGAGATAGACTGACCTCCGCGTTGGGGAAAAAGTCCCCCATTTCAATAGCCCCTGCATGATGACGGAGATCAGCAAGAAGGTCGACGATATGGTGTTGTCTCTTAGCACATACAAATTCCGGTGCCAGTTCCTACGTCCAGGATCTTGTGAATCTTTTCCTTCTCCAACGGAGCCAGATAGAGTCTATCTCCGATGGCTCTGACCACCATGTTGTGGGCGACGTTCAGTCTCTCTATCTCCAGCTGCAGATGCTAGATTTAGCATCTAAATCTATGGCCTGACAGTTGAGGGAATGTCTTACGTTGTCGTTGGGAAGCACATAGACTGTCAGATCAGTGGGGCTTCCTAGCATATTGATGAGGCTGCACACTCACCTCCTTCCCTGAAGGAATGGAATCTACGGCCGTATTCAATGGGGTAGTTGATTGCGCTGGACACCAGCGATGCACTGTAAGAAGAACTGCAATCGATAGCAGCATCAGTAGGTGCTAGACATTGCATACACGTCGTCGATTCTTACACCCTCTCATAAACAGAGTTACCATCATCGTCAGTCTAGCAAGTGCAGGTCAGCGCTATTTCCCTCAAGAATAGGCAAACTTATGTCTGATTTAACTGACAGGAGCTTCTTCAGCAGGTTCGATCTCGTTAGATTCAGGTACAGTAAGCTCGGAGATGGCTTGAGAGGCATCAGCTGGGGCGGCAGTTGGCAGCGACTCCCTTGGAGCGGCTGTGTTGGTTGAGCTTGCAGCGGCGGTTGAAGTTGCTGTGGCTGCATCCAAGTTTCCAGGCTCCCTGGCCGGTGGGTTGGTAGCGGGACCAGTCATCTTATCTGTGGCCACTTCTCGATGGGCGTTGATCTTCTTTGTCTAGGGAACGCACCGCTTCTCATTAAGTTTGCTGGGAGAAAATGTGAGAAACATGGAAAGCAACCAACAGAGCTGGGGCAAAGGCCCTTTTTTAGCTGTTGGGAATGATCGGTTATGGCAGCGTAAGCCGCCGGTGCAATCACCTTTCCACTCCTCGGGGAACATGGGTAGGCGGAGCCGTGTGTGGAACTGTTCCCATCATTGACAGCATTTCTGCAGTAGGGATTCGTCGTGTATCGGCCAGGGTTATTTTGTCAAGGCCAATTGGCGTTGTCGGCTCGGGCCTACTTCCTCATCTGTTGGTCGCTGTGGACAAGTTGGGAAAACGCATGTTTGCATCGATTACCCCTCTTTGCCAAGCTAAAGAAACTCCATAGACACCGGAAGTCGCAGCCGTCTCCGTGAAGTCTGGACACCAGTTGGATCGAGTTCATTTTTGCCGAGATATTTGTGGGTTTTGAAATACAGATTTGGCCCCGTGTGACAACTCACCACTGTCAGGCTGGCGTCAAGGTAGCTAGCTGCCTTACTAAAACAAAAAGAGAAATTTAGTTGATATATCTCAATCGTCAGGCGTACAATAATATGAATCGTACTTTGTAAGCTTCGTGGAGATCTTCAGGCATATACTCTCAGCCATTGTTAATTCGCAAGACCGAGCTGCATCTTGTCAAAGATGCTAGCCGGTCAAATACGCCGAAAGATTTAGACACGATCAATATATGAACTAATGCGCCGTCACATCACTTAAAGGAAAACTCGGCTTCTGCATGTATCAGATCTTCACTGTAAGATACTGGAGCTCAAAAAGTTGATACGTGCCCAATTTAGACGCGGGCTACATCAGACCAGCCCTCGATCGACATGGCTGATTGAAAAGTTGGATAGATGTTAGAGGAGAAGTTCAAATCCATTTGGTGGATCTTCATACATGTTACGGGACTCCAGGGCTTGCAAATGTGGTGGCTTTTGTATCATTGCTATATTGGGTAATTCTTGTGGGATGGTTTGAAAGTCATGTCGCCAATTGCCATATTAATAGATCTCAGGTATACAGAGTCAATGCGCCTCTTGTAAAGACTTCGATGCGTATCCGGCCAAGGCCACAAAAAAGGCACCAGCAGTATACGCTGTGCCCCAATCCCCGCCATGCATGAGTCCCCAGAGCCAGACTACCAGGCAGAAGAAGATGATAATCTTGGTGTTCCCGGGCAATAATAAACTGAGCCTGTCGCTGAGATTCGGTGCTTCTGTCATCCAATATCCGGCATACTGAATCTCTCTTACACTATGCAGATCGGAGAAGGACTCGTAATACGGCTCCCCGACGTGATGGCCTACAGAGGTTCGAGGCATGATGTCTCTAAAGCACTGTTAGAAATGACTTGAGATACTGCTTGAAAATAGGGGCTCACATACTTGGAAGAATATATAGAACCTTCTATTAAGCAGTCGTTTGCAAAGGCCAGTTCGGGGTGTTTTAGTACCTTGGGCCATATGCCCGCCATCTTGAATTGAGACAGCTTTTTGCGTTTTTTATCCAACACATTCATCCTGTGATATCCACGATCGTAGTTTCTCGGTGGAATATCGTTGGATTCCCGGCCCTGAAGGTTGTCTTCCAAGTTCGCAGCGACATTCTGAGGGTCCACGAGTCGTAGTTCCCCCCAAAGAGATTTCGGAGCAGACGGATGACGGCCGTCTATCCGAAGCTTGGTTGATCATTTACAATTAGTCAAAACTCATGTTCGAGTCAGTTGAAACTTACCATTGCGAAGTGAAGTTTGGGCAAGCCAAAGTAACGCCGCCATCGGGGTTGACGTTGTTTCACGGCTTGCTGGATTGCCCTCCAGTGGTCGACGGCATCATCCGTCTCTCCGACATGTATCGGGTCGATTTGGCAACTCTCCTTCTTCCCAGTACATAGTAGAATGCAGGGGGCCGATGTGAACAGAGGGTCAAGAATCTCTTTGATTTTCTCCACACGGGCAGCCCTCAGCTCCATGGGGAAAGGCTCAGCTGTTTTACCTGGCGGGTCAGGAGGAGCTTGCCGTTTTCGAATCCCTGGACTTCCTCGCTTTCCTTCCTCATTTGTAGCTTGAACGTCGGTTGAAGCCAACTGAGAGATGTCGGCCTCAAGTAACGAGGGAATGTCGTCTGCAGATTCCTTTGTTCCGTCCCGCTTTGGGAGAACAGGCGGCTCAATACACTGAGAGCTGCCGCGATTATGTCCAGACTCTTTGTCGAAGGCCTCTGAACCAGTTCTTTCGGATATTGGGAGCTCAAGTCTCGCACTTGGCTGAAGGGACAGACCGGGCACCCAGGCAAGCATCGCGGGCACCAGTCTGGCGAAGACCCTTTGGCCACTCTGTTCTTCCTCAAACACTTTTCTTTGAGGCCCGAACAGAAGATCACCATTATTTTCCCATGCATAACGGCGATTCTCTAGATGAACTGCTGGCGGATTTGCCATACCCACGATAGAATCGCTCATGACTCAACGTTTAAAGAGTGAGGTTTTAGGACGATAGGAGCTTGACGCTGAGAAGAAAACGATAGGAACAAAATGAAAAGAAGGCTGGGATACTCAGGGACGGGAATCCCCAAAGGTTCACTTTAATAATCAAAGGTATCCGTAATACCTTTAGCCGCTGGATCTCGGCTACTGAGGGGTAGAACGCCTCACAATCTGCCTACATGCAGGTTGGTGCGGTCGCATGCATTGCGACCCGAAGCGTGTTGGCACGTTGCTGACCAGGCTGCGCCAGTTTCCAAAGGATTCTTATCCAGCCTGGCTTCAAGAAACAGATACGTTCGTGGCTTTCCTCTATCTTCAGTTCGCAACCACTCTGGCCAAATTTCAAGCATAAGCTTCAACTTCTAACAAGTTAACGTACACACGGGGCCTTTCTAGATGGACGTATTTAGTCGACTTTCGCAAACGAAAATTGCTTTACGTCTGACAATGCAGTCGTTTTCTATTTCTGAATTGTGCTAGAACCCACAACTACATGAAAGGCAGCCAAAATGTATTGGCCACCAACGACAATCACGCCGTCTTGCTCTTAGTGGCGGCAGGAGCCCCAGGCTGCCGAGGCCAGATCAGAACTATCCCGATCAGTGCCACGAAAAATGCTCCAGCAGTATACGCTATTCCCCAATCCTCATAAGCGATGCGAGCTCCAAGAATCCCCAGACACAAAAGCACAATACCGCCGCAGCATCTCATAGCGAAGATGAACTCTGGCTCTTCCTCAGGCCATACGACGCGAAAGCCTGTGAATTTCATGTGTGCTAGTCCACGAACGTGGCCAGTCCCACGCGCCCTATGAAGATCTTCGTAGAAAGCCCTAGAGTAGGTTGGTTAGCGATCACAGCACATGGAGCAAAACGCGCTCTCAGGTGAGGAGAGAGAAGGGCTGCGACGAACTTGGGCGATTTCACCAATCCTGCAGGGAAGAGGGAGTTCCCAGCGGCCAGGATCGGGTTTTCCAAGGTGGCTGACCACAGGGCAGCGGCTTCCAGTTTCGATATCTCTTCCAGCCTTCTCATTTGCTCCTCCATGCCACAATACCTCGCGTAAGAACAGCCAGAATATTCGTAGTAGTCAGCATTTTCATCTCCCCAGAAGCCGTCACAGCCTACGCCATGCCAGCACTGCCATCTGTCTTCATCGTAGCAGCATCTTATTATATTTATATAATCGTCGCCATCATCTTCGTGGTCCTGTTTGGAAGCGATCGCGCCAAAGTGACTTACTTGGTCTCTCAGTTCCCGGATCCTCGTCTCGAGGTCCACGACTTCGTAGAGACCACACAGATCTCCCGAGTGAGTAGGATGAAGCGCCAAAATTCGGATCTATGCAGAAGAAAGGTTAGTAAATAGTCTGCTTCGACCCAGCATTAGCGATAGGAGACAACCTACCTGTACGAGCTCAAGATGCGGTTTCCCAGCCCAGTAAGGCCGTCTCCATCCCCCCCGCAAGGACCACGCCTTTCTTTGTATAGACCTCCAGTGATCAACCGACCCTTTATCGTTGCCCAAAGACACCGGTGCTATTCGGCAAAAGTCTGACTTCCCGGAGCAAAGCAGGAGACAAGAAGAGTCTTTGTCGAAACTGTCAACCACGGGCTTAAGCGATGCATTGATTTCGCCCCAAATTGTTGCGTCCAGATGCAGTCTCAAATTTTGCTCTGAAGAACAGATCTTCATCTTCACAAGTTTTCTTGGGAGACCTGTGTTGCTAGTTGCTGTCGTTTCCGCTGAATCATCAGCTGCATCTCCGGCCTGCCCATTCCTTCGTCTCACCCCAGCCGTTTGCGGTTGACTCGCTGTGTCATCCTCAGCAGTTGAGTCGCCTATCTCTCGTAGCGTCCCCCGAAAAGGCTCTTCGGCCCGTGGGGGAGGCGGGGAAGGAGGATGAAGAGGGCGCTGTAACGCTGGGTCTGAAGGTCCTAAGAGCCGGTCGGCAAAGGCCATCTCAGAAAGACTGCCAAATGCATCTTGAGCGAAGGACGGCAGCAACTCCGGCCGTCGTCGATCCCTAGTCCACAGAAGACCGGTGAGATCTTTGATGACGTTAAGCAAGGTAGTCTCGCGTTGGCGTCTTTGAATGTGGCTCATGAGTGCAAGATTCCATCCATCGCCAGTGCGGTCTGGCTCGCGGTCATCCTGGTGGTGTCTCCACCTCTGCGCGCGGGCAGGAGCGCGGAGAGGTTGTGGAGGTTGTGCAAGTTCAGCCATGGTTCAATCGTCTGTGGTTCAAATCATGCCTTTGCTAAATGGAGCATCACTGAGCAAGCCTTTTATAGCTTTGCGCAGCTGTTGGGAGCCGACTGCCTGTGGGCACAGGCAGGCTATGGAAGCCCAACAGTATGCCTAGGCGGCAAAGCTTGCTGCGTTGGAGAGGTCGCAGTCTTCAGACCGTTGCTCTCATTGGACAGGCAAAGTAGCAGCAAGGGGATCGAAAGGTCGGACATCAAATGGCAGAGAGCAGGGCTGAACAAGTATACACGCTTTTTGATTGACGACGCTGGCCCCGACACGGCGGCCGACTCAGCGAAGCTATTTACATTACATCATTATTTTGTTTTTGATAGTACAATTGCGCAAAGCACGATGAGCCCATTGCATTCGATGCGCGGCGTGACCATGGATCGGCTAAGCAGTTGCGAGAAGCCGCGCCAGCGAGGTTGACCGAAGCATTACACAGCAGCGATCCATGACAATAGGTACCCATGAGATCCATCCATCTCCAGTGGACGACGTGGCGAGACACAATTCTCTTTGGTCATTTCTGACCTCTCTCAAGCTGTGTGGGTAGGCAACATTGGGGTTTTCGAAAGCATTTCCGGTCTCCATGATGCCTTCCAACGAATGTCAATGGAGACAAAAGCCGGATCCTTCCGGGGTATGGGCGGGGGTGTTCATCGCCGATTCGGTGGACACGGTCACGGGCATCCCTGCCCCCGGCGCCGTGCGCTGCTCGGGGATGTCGTGATTGCCGCGGGCGGCTCCGGACGGGATTAGTGAGCCGGCATCCGCGGAGTGGAGAGAGCTGAAGTGATCCCGGTCAAGTCGGCACGATATTTTTGATCGATCCCGCATCGAAAAAAGCGGATCACGATTGTACGAAATCGCGTCACCGATGGTCGAGGGCGCGAAAGACGGCCGTGTTCTTGACGAAGCACTCGTCCTCCTGGGAACGGCATCCCAGAGCTATACGGGCGGTGCGCTGGTCGCCGTAGCCCTGCATGTCGGCGATAATTTGCGCTGCGGCGTTGCATGACATTTCATGTGGAGATGCCTGCGGGGGATGATGTGATTCTGACGGACGGGGAGGCGTCTGGCTCCTCCTGTCGTAGTAATGGGGGCTCCTTGCAGACTCTTGGAATTTCTGCTTCGGGGCCAGCTGCGTGACCCTATTGAGGCTCGCATTGGCAAGCATGGTCAGCTTGTCGAGCGGGGAGCTTTGCTGCACGTCCGGGGTGGGCGTCAGGGTAAGAACGGGTGGCATCAAAGCCTCGCCGTATTTCCTCTTGGTGCCGTTCGTCTCGGGCTCAGGTTCGGGCGGGAATCTCGCCTTGCTGAAATGCTCCTGCAGAGGCGGGAGTTGCGTCGACGGTTCGAGGGTGACGGGGTTGCTGAGGATGGGTGGCAGCGTCGCTGGCAGGGGTGCAGCAGGCGATGCTTTGGTATCGTCGTCGAAATTCCTGATGAAAGCGTCCGCCTGTTCGCCCTGGATGCCCGTCGGGAGAGGAACCCCGGGCGGTGCCGCTGGTGAGCCTTTGTTGTCGTCGTCAAAGGACCTCAAGTACGCCTCCACCTGTTCGCCGGAGACACCTCTGCTGGCCAGCAAAGATTTTAAGCGCGCGTTCTCGATGGACACGTCGCGGGCGGCCTTCTGCATCTGCACCGAGGCCTCGATCCCCCGCTTCTCGTATTCCTGGACCTTTCGCTGCAGCTCGTCGACAAACTCTTTATGCCGGGCGCGTGACCGTCGCTGGTTGTCGCGGATCCGGATGGCATTGGCCGATTTGTCGGTCTGGAGCTGTTCCTCGAAGGAAACGTCAGCTGATGGCGCGAGAGACGGCTGAATCGTGGCGATGTTTAGATGTTATCGGACGGCAAAGACGAGTTGGAGATGGAACCAACGACAAGGAACAGAAAAGATGGTGGTGACATGACTTACCCGTCCCCGTTTCGCCTTTTTGGCCTGCGGACCGAAGAGGTCCTGGTAATCCTGCTCCGACGACATTGGCACCTCGTGTGTCGGCCTATCCAGATGGCGGGTGGTTTCCTATACCGTCCGAGATTCCCGGGAGAGGATGAAGATGGTGACGAACATCCGCAGGGCGGTGTGAGGGAAGAACCTGGCGATGGGCGAGGAAGCAACAGCAGCAACCAGGAAGAAGAAAAAAAAAAAAAAAACAGGGCCTGCTGAATTTTTGCTGGTGGTTGGTGGTGACAAACAAGAGAAAAAGCAAGCGTGAACCTGGGCGGATGACTAATCTCGTTAATCGGCCAATCCACCGGGGCCAGTCTGAATTTTTTTCATGCTCGCGCTAGCAGCTCAGATTGCCGAATCAGACATCACGGAGCTGTGTCCGCAGTGGGGCCAAAGCTCCATCTTTCAAAACATGGCATTTTCAGCTTTGTTCAGGGACGAGTCGCTCCGCCGCCTGTCACTGCCGTCACTGTGGTCTGTCACTGCTGTGAGCTGTCGCTGGGTTTTGCATCCTACAGTGACATGCCCTGCTGCCGATGACTTTTGTTCATAAAGCAGACTGCATTCATATCATTGCATGTTGCACAATTTTCCCTAATCCCTTTTTATGCATGGTCACAAACCACCCCCTCATCGCCCACCCATCATCATTCAACTCAACCGTCCTCGTGTCCTCACCTGAGCTCGTTCCGACAATGTGTCACTGAGGCTGCTGGTTGGACTCACTAAAATGCCATGGCCCACAGAATATCCATCTTGGTGTGGCTACCTACGGGTGCGGTATCCACGCGGCATGCAAGCCAAGTTGCAGGGATTCGTCGCGGGGAATTCAGGGTCTCGCCATTTCGATGTGGGACTGACTCCTCATAATGAGCTCACGTCCTCCATACCATGTGGCTTAGAACATGATTCAAACCCTCCAATTTCATTCACGGTAGTTTCTCTTGAAGACTACAAACAATTTTGAGCCATCTTAGCCTCTTGATGCCAATTTTAGTGGCGTCCCTTCTCCAGCTGCCTCGCCAGATCCTGAGCAAACCCACACATCGTCAAGGTCGGGTTCCAACTACCTGCGGTCGGGAACAGAGCACCGCCAGTAAGAAACACATTTGGAACACCATGGACGCTGTAGTCTGGATTGACCGAACCGCCTTCCGAGGCTGGTCCTACGAAAGCGGTGCTCGTCTCATGAACAATGCCTGGGAATCGGATCTCTGATTGTTTCGGATGAGCCGGCTTCCACGATCCTTTGCTGGGCTCATGTTCGTCGATATGCCAGTACTCGAGACCCTCAGAGGGCGGTTCGGACCCAACCGTGGCGGCCATCTGCTCAATTGTTTGGTAGGTCGCTTCATCCATAGTATCCCAAAGCTGTCGGTCGGACTTGGTGAGGGTGTATTGCAGCTTCATGTTCGTAGTCACATCCGGGTTGCTAGGGTCCATCTTAAACCAGTTCTCCTCGTTGAGCTCGGAAAACTCGCCGAGAGTGGCACACACAATGACGACATGCTCCGTTGAGTGTGACAGCTGCTCGTAAGTAGCGGCAGCAGCATAATCCGGGCATTCGCGAGCCGCATCTTCTGCATCCTCTTTCGGGTGCGGACTCTGGATGGCTGTAATCTGAACATGATACTGCTGTCCGCTGGTCGAATCCTTGCCGGCCAGATAGTGGGCAGCGATCTCCAGCCTGCGATCCTTAGGCTTGCTGCCCACGGGATGCCATTCGAATGCAGATAGCGGTGCTCGCGCAACAATGTGCGTCAAGAAATGGCCCGACACACGCTTGCCGACGGTTTTGCGACATTCCGAGAAGCTATTGAGGAGTATGGTGGCAGCAGGGAAAGCCTTTGAACAAGTGTTAGCTCAAGCTCAGAACGCGGACCAGCATCGGCTTGAGTTGCTTACGCCCGCACACAGAATCACTTTCGTATTGTCGCCTTGCCATGTGATCGTTCCTCGAGTGGTTTCGATTGCATGGACATGGCCTCCATCATCGTCCACCGCGCCAAGCGTTTTGACAGTGCAATTCAGAAGAATGTCGAGAGACGCCGCATTCTTGGACTTTTGCTCCTCGTAGATTTTCATCAACGGCGCTGGCGTAGAAAACTTGTTGAATCGGAGGTTGGAGGTGACCGAGGCTCGACCGACTGCAAGCTGAGCAGGCTCGCTGTATTCGGCGGTCTTGACCTCTCGTAGGCGGTCCTTCAATCTCTGGTCAATTTCTCGCTGAAGACCCGAATATACGGAATCTCCAATCTTGTCGGCGCTCGTAACGTGAAGGAGGTCTCTGGCATGGTCCCAGAATTCTGGCTCTTTGGTTGAATTGATCATACTTTTTGGAAAGGCCCGCATGTCCTCGACCTTAGGTTGAGGAGACCAAGCCGACCAGAACAGTGATCTTCCCCCGAAGAAGGGGCAAGATCCATGGCAGTATTTGAGCAGTGGATCGCTGAAAGTCTTCTTGGACAGCGTCCATGGGAAGGTCTCTGATGGCCCACCCAGCACCGTCTTGAATGGGAGAGGAAGATTTTGGAAATGCGCAGGAAGCCAGAATTCTACCATTGTTCAGCATGAGAACTTGTAAAGTTGTCGGGAGTAATCACAAACCTCCTCGCTCCAGGCAAAGAATACGTGCGTGCGGGTTAATCGTGAGCGCCTCCTGGATGAAAGCCAGAGCAGTACAGCCCGAGCCGACGACGACGTAGTCGTATGCACCATCGTCGAGAATCCCGTCGAACTTGTTATTGCTGAAACAACATCCATCGGCATTCTGTGTCATTGTTTCGATCAGTTTCTACATACTCAATGAAATAGTCCTTGGTCATGACCATAGCCGCCGTTGGAGATTGTACGCCTGGAGTTGGATACCCCCATGACTTCGTTGGCTTTGGCGACAGAAGCGGCTTCCCCACACGGCAGTGGAAGCTCGATCCCCCATAAGAAGGGTTCGTATGCACGTTGTTGGAGGTATTCATGATGATGAGAAGCAGTTGACAGAAGAATTGACCGAGTGTGAAATGAACCTTTGGCCAAACATAGACATAATTCAGTCGTTCTCGATAGGTTTATGTAGGTGATTTATACCACGTTGAGCTTTTGCGGGGGACCGTTCCCCATGTCTCATGCCGGTAGACTCATGAATGTGTTTGAGCCAGCCACGAAATTCAGCTCCGTGGAACATGAGGTTCAGCTCCGCGGCACACATCCTAAAGCGAACCCTGGCACGGGTCTGGATCCGTCTGTCTCACATAACGTACGACTATCCGATGCTTTTCATCGAGCTAGAAGTTCTCAAGTCTCCCACATTTTGGTTTCGTTGCCTCCAAGACATGGGGACTATCGAGCATCGAAATCATGAGCAACACAAATGATAATTGTGAGGGCTTCAGTGCTAAAGAGCTCCTTCATCGAGTAGACAGAGCGATCAAGGCTTGAATAGTGGACATGTCGGATAAATATCCTCTCACAATGGGTAGACACAGAGTCCACGTATCGTTTGTTCCTGTCGACTGCTATTTGAATCACTCCTGGTGTTGCACGTAGATCTTAATTCACCGACTCTCTGGCGAGATGCCATGTCGAATGTCGAACGGCAGACGGGAAGCTCCCGCAGGTAAGATAGTTTCTGAGGTAAACCAATGGGTAGCTTCCGTGACAACCACCTGAGAGGTGATCTTACCATGTCTCACAATAACGAGAATCATGGTCTATCGTCAGCAACTACCAGCTAACACAAAAGCGACTTTGATAGTTCTCCATACTTTCCAAAGCTAGATAGACTATGAAACCGAACTGTTTGTCACTGACGTCATATCTATTGCAGAGAAGGTGTCCCAGTATGTTCTTGCTTTACGTCAGGGCCTCTGGCTTGCTCCGTTCTCTTGAATAATTAGAACTTCGTTCACTAAGTCTTGTGATGTATGGAAAATCGGGCCTCTCTTCTCTTCTAACATTAAACACTCAAACACTCAAGCAGCCGGTTCCGTTATATGAAGTATTAATACTAGGGAAATAGGTCCAGACTTTTTATTATCACTTAAGTGTCGTTGAAAATGTGTGAGATTGTCTTCTTAACGTTCACTTCCACTTCAAATTCAAACATTTTACTGCCTTGGGCAAGATGGATAACACATAGTCATATTGATTCATACGCCATTGAGTATGAATCACTGTCGCTTTTCTTCAAGTGAGACAACTTCCTGGCACGATTTGTCCCATTCATGAGTTTGCAGTCTATGGGTTATGCGGTCTTGATCTGAAGACTGCAACCCACATAAACCACAAAATGATACCTTTCATTTGGCGAGAACCGTGAACTGTTCGTAAGAAAGGATCTCTTGCATTGTTTACTGTGACAGATTCAAAGGCATGGCTATGTATATCGTAACTAGTCGGGCCCGCAGGAGTTGCTTGATGATGCATGACAGCTGCAGTAGCGCCATCAATAGTCTCCATCTCCGCACCCAATCTGGAAGCCCAGGATACCCAGCCCCAGCCCATTACCGGGGCAGGATTCCTCGAGTACTTTAAAAGAACGACTTTGCCACCTAAACGCTATCAAACAATCGTGCATGGGCGTTCCTTGTCTCGAATAGCCGCGCAGTCTGGTCCCAGCGCACACGGCAACCATGTCTTCCGTGCCGTCTTTTCCGGAGCCGCATGCCCCTGTCCCTTTCAGCTACAACGACCACCTGGCGATCCTGCCGTCGGCATCGACACACATCAGACTTCTCGAACTCTATCCCTCCTCAGGAATAGGACCTGAACCTGCATCTGCTGCTGCAATCCGAACAGACGAAGGCGACAGCGACGCCCACTTCTCGAGCCCGCTCGTGTGCGAAATCTCCAGCACCCCGGTTGCCACGCCGCGGCTATTCAAGGCACTCTCGTACAGCTGGGGGCGCCCAGACAAGACGCACACCATCGAAATCTTAGGGTCGCGCCTCGGCATCACGGCCTCGCTCGATGCGGCTCTGCGACACCTTCGAAGTAGAGACGAGAAGGTCACGCTTTGGATCGATCAGATATGCATCAACCAAGACGATGCCGCGGAGAAGACTGACCAGGTTCCGCTGATGACGCAGATCTACAGCAAAGCGCAGCAGGTCCTCGTGTGGCTCGGGCCAGCGCAGGACGAGTCTGACGCCCTCATGGATTGTTGGGAGGAGATCGGGCGAGGTGCGCGCGAGCTGGATATTGAGAGTTACTTCAACAAAGAGCGCTTGCCGCTACTAAGACCTCTGCTGGAGAATCGTAACCCGGAGGATGAACTGACGAGGAGATTCCAGGCTCTGATTGCCAAAGCTTTGCCCATGGCCACTAACCTTCTTCAGGCCGTCATAGCCTGGAATGAGAGGCTTTGGTTTGGCCGAGTATGGATCATTCAGGAGCAGGCCTTATGCCCCGACACAGTGTTTGTGTGCGGCTCAAAGGTAGTGGATGTTGACCTGTTCTTTCTGGCTGGAATGGTATTCGACCACTGCTTCGGTAGAGTTGCTGAGCAGAATGAGCTTCCTCGACAACAGCACCAACTCCTTCTCACTGCTCAAGATCGCCGTGTTGGCCCCCTATCAGCCATCCGCCGTAGACAGCGCAACTACGTCAAAGGCGCGGGGCCCGGAGACGATCTCTTTCACCTCCTTAGAAAGACATACATTGACGGCAACGCCCAGGCGACCCTCCCCAGAGACAGGATCTATGGTCTCCTAAGCATCGCCGTGGACGCAGATCGCCTTGGCATTACCCCGGACTACAAACGCCCAGACTGCCATCCCACCTTCGTCGAGACAGCCCGCGCTCTCATCCAGGCAGGTCGCGTCGAGATCCTCTCCTTCTCGCAGATGCCAAAGGACATTGACGGCCTGCCGTCCTGGGTCCCGGATTGGCGACCCGGACTGACTCGCTCCTTCACGGCCATCTACGACGATGCGGAGAAGTTCCTCACGGCTGCGGCGGGAGACAGCACGGTTGAGATCGTGTACACGGACGGCTCGTCTATGCTCGGGATATGCGGTTATGCAGTCGACATAATCGAAGAGACGGGTGAGGTATGGGAGTGGGAAGCAGGTCACGCGGCTCGCGCGGCGCATCTCCAGACGATCAAGGCCTTTTGCGAGAAATCAGCCGCAAAGAGCCTGCAGCATGGCGTATACGAAAGCCCCGGAAGGCAAAGTGAAGCAGTGTGGCGAGTGCCTGTTGGTGACCTGTATTGGACCCCAACAAGAACGTACCACATAGCCAACTTGACCGACAAGAGCGACTATGAAGACTGCATAAGCGTCTTGACAATCCTTACCGAGTACGAGACGCTCACGCCAGAAGACCGGCAGGAGCGCCTCGAGGAATTTTTCGCTCGAAGCCCTGGCCAGGCCATGTACGGCGAAAACATGGACAAGATGACGGGCAAACGTCCCTTCACGACGCGGCGGCAGGGTTACGTGGGCATGGGCCCGGCCGACGCACGTCCGGGCGATGTGGTGGTGATACTGCTCGGTTCTCGGATCCCGTACGTCCTGAGACCGTCCGGAGATGGGACGACTACGAGGCAGGAGAACACGTATCATTTCGTCGGGGAAGCGTACTGCGATGGTGTGATGTATGGCGAGGTGTTAGTTACTAAGCGGGTGCCAAAGACCACCTTCTTCGTGGTCTGATTCTGGCTTACAATTTCACAAAACACAAAACACACACACACACACACACTGGGAGGGGGACAAAAAGGGGTCAGAGCAAAGTGTTTTAGCGGGGATGACTTGCATTCTTGTTCGTCAAGTGTTTCCTCTAAAGGTGTCCTGTTCAGCCGTCCAATCTGGCCCAGCCCTAAACCTCTCGCTCCCCCAGTCTATGTGTGCCCAAAGTCTATCAAAGAAGCCCCAAAATTGGTATGAATGATGATGATCCAATGCCTCGTGCGCAAAAGTTACAAAGATGAGTATCGAACAAACGGGAGTAAAGACCGTAAAGGGTATTCAAGGAAAAGAGAATCCATTCTTTGAAAAAAATGAGACTACGCTTGATATGAGCGCGCGCGCTATTGTTGTTCGTTCCACGCTGGAATATGCCCCTAAAAAAAACCAAAGATAAACACACACATGATTAAAAATGACGCCGCCTCTCGCTCGTTTTTGGCCAGAGCGGAAATAATTTGCAAAACCTCCCAGAGTCAGTTCTGGCGCTATGAACATTTGAAGCATGAACAGTGAGCCACCCTGGCCCACGACTGCGCAGGCACACATCCGTAGATCCGTGCCGCGATTATCCTGGTAACCTTTTTTTCGTTCCAAACCTCGTGTTTTTTCTTTTCTCCTCGGTGAACGCTCGGTGAGCTGTCCAGCCAAACAAACCGCTTCCCACCGCTGTTTCCTCCTTTCCCAGTGATGAAAAAAGATGTGATGAATACAGTGTGAATTTAGTGGTCGTTGTAGTCCTCGTCTCTCATGGTGTACATGATGTCTTGGATGACGACGGCTCTGACGTGGTGGTAGAGGACGAAGAAGTAGGTGCCGAGGAGGACGAGGGACATGGCGGTGGCGAACCATAGAACGGCTTCGTTGCCCAGCTGGTTGCCGATCGTGATTGTCGCGAGCGTGAAGCCGGTGTTGGGGAAGACCATGGCCCACCATCCCAAGTGGAAGTAGACAGGAGGGGACGAGACGACCGCGATGATGGCGATGCCGAACCACCAGGCGGCGAGAGCCCAGAGGAAGATGGCGCTCATGAGGGCGATGGTCCTGATGATGCCGACATCGATAAGGATGCCATCACGGTCGGGGTCGAGGTTGTTGGGGAGTCCGTTAGCCATGCCGATGAGGGCGAGGGCGGTGAAAGCCGGCGGGCCCACGTTCATGAACAGACCGGGGCGGTGCTCGCGGTTGGGCAGGCCGGCGGACATGAGGCGGCCGACCATGTGGGCGTACATGAGGACGGCAACGGACAGACCGAGACCCTGGCAGGTGAGACCGGCGACGACGATGGGGACAGCCGCGATCTCAGGTTGAGTATCGGCAATGACGGAGGCGATGGTGCCTGAAAGCATGATGGGGAAGATGGGAAGAATCCACGTGGGCATCATGGTCTGCAGACCGAAGTTGTGCCTGGCGAAGACGAAGCTGTACTGGCCAATAGCCAACATGAGGGTGACGATGACATAGCCCCAGAAGGCGACTTGGATGGCCCAGACGAGGGTCTCGTCGTTCTCGGGGATCGCGTATCGGTTTGTACTCGTGATGAGCGTCGCGATGGAGAGGAAGAACGTGGGGAAGAAGAAGCCCTCACGCTCATGAGTCAACGACTTCTTCATGTCGCCGGGGTACAGGAAGAATCTCGCCAGCATGGCCGAGCAGACAAGGACGAAGAGGATGATGTTGATAACGTAGACGACCGTGCCTATTTGCCTCAGGCCGGGGAACTGGTGAGGCTGGGCGAAGATGAGCAGCGAGAGACCGCCCGTGCTCATCGTGAGGGTGTACCATGCCCAGGTGAAGTGGTGCAGGCGAGCCTTGAAAGCCATCCGTGGCCTGTTGGGGTCGTTGATGTCGATGTGACCATGCTCGCCGTGGCCGTGGGAGGCGCCCTTCTCGACCACCGGTGTGATTGAGTTGCTATAAGCCTCATCCTTCTCCTTACCATGGCCGCGCTTCTCGTCGTTGAATGTCAGGTCCAGTGGTGCCAGCTTGGGGGAGTTTGGCCTTGATGTTTGCCACTCCGCTGAGTTCTTGCGCGTCGACACCTCTGATTCGGTCCAGGCCGAGTGTTGGCCCGGGTGGACTGGATCCCTTCGATCCATTGTGTGTGAAAATGTGTTGATGTTTTTAAGGGTGTTGTTTTTTTGTTGTTTTACGGTTGGTGGATGCTCGCTCGCAGTGTGATTTCAAATCGGACCGGTCGAAGCAGGAAACAGGTTGAAAGACGCACGCCGAATCTCGCAGAGAATAAGTCGTTCGCTCGAGAGTGAGTGTCGAGAGTTGGTGTGAGATGTAAAGAAACCGGGTAGAGATGACGAAAAGAGAAGTTGACGATGACGGTGACGGGGGAGGCAAGATAAATGCAAACAGAAATACAACGGAAGAAAAGAACTTGATGTCGCTGACAAGGGGATTCCAGCTCCGGTGGGTTGTCTGTGAAATTAGGTCTTGGACGGGATGATATATCTCGGTGGCTCGAGAGGTCCCAAGTCTTGGGAGGAAATCAGACTAAGCAAGGGCTTCTTAGAATAGCTACACTTGACTTGGTTAGCAAAACGGGGTATCAGTCCGGTGGAGCCAGTCCGTCTGTGAGTGAAGATGAGAGACGTAGAGGGAAAACAAAAATACACCAAAGTGTGTGCGTATGAGACGAGACAGGTCCGGTAGATGGAGATGTGTGGTTCTGGGCACCCTTGTTTGAGGGGGTGGAGAGCCCGACTGGAGCCGACTGGAGCCTTGTCTCTCTTCCTCCCAACTCTGTTCTTCCTACTGCTTGCGTGGATGGGTGATGTGGGTGCGTGAGGTGTGCACTCCCTCCCCCTCCCCAGGCGTTTGCACGAATGTAGGGCCCTCTGTTGCGTCAGCCAGCTTCTGTGCGTACGAGACAGCAGCAACACTCAGCGCCTCTTCAGATACCAAATTTGGGCTTGAGGCAAAAGTTAAGACGGGAGACCCGCTTCACGACACCATAGACACACACCAAGGGTTGTAGAGTTTTGGATAGCCGCGTAGTGTGAGAGGGATGGGCGGACGGGATCCACTGATATGAAGATCCAATGCGGCGGCGATACCGCGCACAGCGGGTAACATATGGTTACGTCGACTCTTTGGCGGCAGGCCGTGAGTTGGCTGTGGGCAGAAATACATGGCTGTAGGAATACCAAGACTGCCATGCCTTGCCCAGCGCTACGTACCCGTTGAGGCTCTTTGGGAAGAAGGAAGAACGTGGGCGGGCTGGCGTTTGGGTGGCGGCCCAAGGAAGATACCCCCACGGCCCTGCACAGGGTGACCCAGTTGGGCGACGACGGTTCGCCAGAAGAGGAAGGGGGCTTTTGGATACTCGTGCCAGGGGCCCGGCCTGTCTCTGGGCCCCGGCAGACGGCGGCGCGATGGCAGGCAAGATGCAGCAAGATGGCGGTTGAAGAGCAGGTTGAGGGCGTCTACCGTCTCAGTCCACCGGGGCTTGCTGCTGAGTGTAGACGCATCTGCAGGCCAGAAGGTCGCGATAGTGACGATTCCGGCAATGATTGTACACGGCCGCGGGCGAGAGACCTCACGACGGTGTCAAGGGGCAGTCCCATCAGTGTGATGTGATACAAGCCGCGAGGTATTTTGGGGCCCGAGGGGTACTCCTGGATCAAGACCGTCACGGCCTTGGGCGAAGACAGCAGTTCGGGCGCAGCCGTGCCAAGATGCCAAGAAGTGAATATGTGCCAAGGAGGAAGAAAGGCAAGGAAAGTTGAAGACTTCAAGACAGGAGACGGTCCAAAAGGCCAATCGGGGGGCCGCCAGGGACACCAGGGCCGCGCATCCCTCGCGGTCTCGAGAGGGCCGTGCTGGGAAGAGATTTTCCTTCCTTCATTCATTCTTTTGGGCTTCCTTATCTGAACAATGGTCCATGGGGGCCATCTCGACGTCGATCACCCACGCACGGTAGGCCGGAGCACTGCATGGATTTGAGAATCGGTCATGGTGATGGGGGGTGACGCTGCTGCTGCTGGACGCTCAGTGTTCGGGGCTTCAGGGGTGCAGGGGCAGGCAGGGCCCTGTCATTGTTATGAATCGGGAAATATTAATAGCCCGCCCATGCATATGCCTGTTCAAAGCTTGCTTCAGGCGGCTGGCTGGAACACTCTGCGCGCCTGGTTCTGTTCTGCATCGCTGCGACTGATCGAATCGTCGAGATACGACAGAAGGGTAGAGGCCTGCTGCAGGATGTTCTGAGCTAGTGTAAGGTGAAGAAGATGAAGCAGGTCTAGGAACATCAAAGACTTCGGATCCTGGCGGAAAGGCGCCTGCGCGCGCGTGTCTTGTCTCTTAGCCTCGACTAACGCACGCTGCGGACCGCTGCCTCCCTCCCGTGTGTGTGATGTATGCCTGTGTCAACGCCACACACTGCTGCTTCGTCAAGCCTGTGTGAAGAACAGCCAGACCGACGCACTCTGTATGGAAAGGCGAGAGCCAAAAGGCGCACGGGGGACCCCCGGCTGTCCGAGTCGGGACATTCGTTTCACGATCGGAGCTCTGGCCGCCAAGAGATGGGAGGACCCGCCTTGGACCTCGAAACACGCTGGTGAGAATGAGGCAATGAATGGCATTTTCTCTGGATCGCTGACTCTTGACTCTCTGTTGCTGATGCTGTTCCTGCACACGCCCCCCGGCATCGTGGCAGGTCGTGCAGAGGATAGACAAGAGCCAAGCCGCGCCTCAACAATATTGGATATCTGCCAGCTCGTGTTCCTGGCCTTGGCTTCACGTCTTTTGCAGATATTCGTAATGAACTGCGCACGCCGCCAAGACCGCGCTCAGCCAGTCGTTCGTTCGTGTTCCCATGGATCTTCAGTCTTTACTGCGTACGCTGTGTGCTGTCACCATGTCGTCTATACATTCATCCGGGCTGTCGATTCAGACTGTCCGCCTCGTCCTGCCACGACGACGCGCACGCACGCACGCTTCAACATTGCAGCCGCGAGACAGACGGGCAGGTTGCAGCTGAGAAGACGTCAAAGACGCACATCGTGTATCCATTGATAGGCGTAGCCGCAGCAGTAGCAGCAGCAGCAGCATGCCAGCAAAACACACAACCAAACACTGGCCTCGATCCACTTGCGCTGGGCACGATAATGTGTCGGAAAACACAGAAAAAGATACAGTACAGACAGCTACTGCGCCAGAGTGCCGCCGGGGCGTAGCATTCAGCCCGTAGAAGGCCTCTCTTCGGTGGTAACGATCTCTTGCGTGCGCCGTCGATGGACGGTTCAGGGGACCTGTGCCCACCGGGACGAAACACCGCTCTGGCCGGACATGTGAAGAAAACGACCAGGTACTGCGATAAGGAACCAGGGACGCCGCCACTTGAGCAAGAGTCCCACGCCCTGTTTCTTACCGTCTACATCCCGTCTTTCACACACATCTACACACATCCTTCGCTTCCCGTTGACGGCTCGGCTGTCCCACCCGTCGAAATAGAAGTCAAAAAAGAGGGTCCCGTGCATCCCGTTGTTCCCCCTAATTGCCTCTTCAGGTAGCCTCCCGGTCGCTGATGGCTTGGGTTGGGCTGTCTCGCAGGCCCTGTGGTCGCTTGGCCGAGCTGCTGGTTCCAGTCTTCCCAGTTGCATTGTGGTGGACAGCAGCAGCCCTCTTCGGCTTTGTTGATGAGGACTAGAACAAAGCTGGGTTCACTTTGTCTCGCTGCAGTCTGTCGTCACAGGTCTTGGTCTGATGTGCCCTCCCTCGTCCACTGATCGACGCCTGGAATCTCCAAAAACCCGTGCCGTTCGAGCCTATTTCAATGAATTGTCATCAGCTCTTCGACCACATCGCGGATGACTGAGTAAGATGGTCGATGCTGACAGTCGCAATCACACACACACAGACGGCCGCCACAAAACGTGGTCTGGCTGTCTTGGCCCTTGGGCCGTCCATCCGTCCTTCCGTTAAGCCACCCGCCATCAGATCTTCGCTTTGCGTATGTGTGTATGTGTGTGTACGTGCGACCGCAAATCATATCTGACCCTTTAAAAACAGAAGGTGGTGGCTTTCCTATGCACTCGTTGTGAGAGGCTAGACTAGAATACCACCACACGATGCCGGGAGCACCGCCAGCCAGTTGACCAACAACACAACTGCGAATTTGGGACGAAAAGGCTCACTGCCGCTCTGTGTTGGACCTGCAGACGCTACGTCGAGAATGCTAAACGTACAAAATCCCATCACCGCCCGTTTCTATTCTCGTGAACTCTTGGCTTTTTTGTCCCTTATCCAAAGAACGTGCCCACAGTCCTATCGCGAACGAAGCCTCAATGATGATGCAACCGTCCCCTCTGTTTGAACCCATCTCTTCCCGCCTCGAACAACTTGGCGTTCTGCATCTCCTACTGGATACTCCCCCACCAAACTAATTGCGCGGCGTTTCCACGTTTCTACTAGGCCTCCCATCACGACCCAATCAAAGAGGTTCCTCTTCAGGAAAGCCAAGGTGATGCATCACAGCTTTCTATGTTGTTTAGCTCAACACTAGGCTGGGAAACCACAATTTCAAAACGCCCAGCCGGGAGAGGCCAAAGGGGAGACGCAAGAAAGTGAACTATGCTACGCTACAGCAACATGTCGATTTGCATCGCTTGCTGACTTGGCTTTCAATAGGGCGCCGGTGAGAGCAGTCCGCATCATCCCGGGACCCGGTGGGAACTCTGCTCTACGGGCGAGTCTTGGCCAGATTGGGTGACATGATCTACCGCCGAGGGAAAATCCCCATCAAAAATCTGCGGCCTACCGGACGGATACCGCCTTTCGCAAGATGAGATCCGGCTCCTGGCATCTGCGCCGCAATCGCCAAGCGTCCCTCGAAACGCGCGAGCAGCATGACAAAAGCCCGTCGACGATAAGCGTCTTGCTGCTATGGGTCCAGCCCGTCCGGCTGCATCCACTGCCGTGCAATGCACCGCCGCCGGCCATCACCCACAACGATTGTCCGTCCGTCTGCATCTACACCGGTGATGGGCAAGCCAGCACACACATCACACACATCACGCAGCTATTACCTGCCCGTCGCGGCCGTGGACACCACCTCTTGGCGAGACCCTCTCTTCCGTTCCCATCT